ACATCCCAAGTACGGACGTCACCAGAACCTTGCTTCTTAACTTCAGAAGGTGTAAGTGACCATCAATGATCATGTTCAGTAATCCATATGCTTAGGTTTTGATGTCGTTGGTCGTGTAGAATGACAATATTACCACCGCCGAAGGCGTTGAGGATAACAGCATAGTAAGTAGTCAATCGAATATTGATGATCAGGCTGATTACTTACGTTGTGACTCACCAGGAGCAAACCGAACCAGGTGGAGTTCCAGAGACGCCTACCCCTCAACCTAGGAAGGTAAGGAAATGATCATGTGAGTAGTTGATGGTGGTGTCATCAGCTGACATGGCTCTATTTACAGAATCGAATTGACCCGAGCCTTGTCCCCACCAAGGAAGAACCTAAAGAAACAGGCCAGGTCAGTGCTCCATCCATCCATTAGCATGTGAACACAATGAGATACTTACTAGTCGAATCAATTAGACCGATGTTGAAAAACAGGTCCAACCTATCAGCTCTGGAGTTATTTATCCAACTGACATTGAGGTAAGAGTCATATAGTTATAATACGAAGATGGGCATGTGAGCTGACATGTTTATGGATGGTAGGAAACTGAGGAACCGAAGGACGATCCCATACATACGTCCGCTCAGCCAAGTGACAAACCCAGCACTGCTGAGAAGAGTCCCAGTTCGGCTAAACCTGTAGAAGATGTGAGCCACTCTGCATTCCAAATTCAGAGGTTGTAGAAAATACTGACACCCTCCTTGTAGGCTCCGATTAGCGCCACCCAGAATATGCGTCAGGTTGAGATTAAGAGAGCCAGAGCAGAATATCAATCAGGTTAGTTGTTTTCGTTATTCAGAATCATTTTCAGATCATAATCGACTTAACTTTGGCGTATTGGACACAGTCAAAGTGCTATACCAGACCACGTTGGAGCGGGTCACCTCTCTGGAGAAGGAAGCTCAAGATGGAGCTATCGACAAAGCATTAATGTTAGCGAAAGCATTCTTAGCTGAACTGGAAGTGACTATGCGTGAGGATGAGGCTGCCTACCTGGCTGCGCTTTCCGGCAATCACCCCGATGTGATCTTTGTTCCCAGCAACCCACCACCTCCTTTGGGTATCAACCGATCCCTTCGACCTAGAAATATACCTGTTGCTGCAAAGCGTAAAGTGGCGAACAATGAAGACGGTGAGTGCTTGATTTGACAGAGTTAGTCCAATATTACGAACTTACACAAGGATTGATCTACAGGTTCTTCGAAGCAAGGCAAGGTCTCAGATGCCTCCAAGTTCTTTGATTTGGAGGCAAAGGTATCCAATAAGGAGCCTACCTCTGAGGTCTTGGGCCAGTCAAAAGGCCCAAAGACCCGGATCAAGAGCCGTGCTTTTGTTACACAAGAGGACGACGATTGGGCTCGCAGAGAGCAATACCCCGACCAGCAGGTTGAGATGAAGGATGTGGTCGAGGACAACAAGAAGCTAGAGAAGAAAAAGGAAAGGAAGGTTGAAGAGAAGGATGAAGATAAGGAGGAAACGTTACCTGTGGATGAGAAGAGTGTATTTCAGGTCGAGAAGCCTGATCTCAGTGGTAAGTTAATCATCATTATCTACCGCTTTCATTTCTTTCTTTTTCTATTCTTGTACCACTTCGCCCCTTGCAAGTGGTTCACCCCACCTTTAATTTTCCTCTCTTTAATCTTTCACTCATTGACTCGTTTACTTTACTTATTGACTCGTTCAAATTCTCGCTTGAAGCGAGAATTTGAACGATTGTCATTCCATTTCCCTATCTTGATCTTCACATCATCTTCTCGTTCAAATTCTCGCTGGAGGCGAGAATTTGAACGAGTCGATATTAATCCCCGCTGTGACATTTACATATAGTGCATGTGGCGATTGACTGAACTCTAAATCTCATACATCTTCCAATTCCACTATTTCATCTGTCAAATTCAGTGCTGACACTTAGTATTGCTTTTTAGCCTTGCTCATAGATCCGACCGCTGAGGAGATCCAGGAGTTGAAGGCCTATCAGGATGCGATCACCTCTTCTCAATTCAATTGGGGAGATGTGCTCACAGTCCCTGCAGCAAACGTGATCCACGCTTGGGAGTACGATCTCGAGTCAGCAGCAGGGAAGCCCTCAGCGTCCGACTTGACCCCACATCTCAACTACGTTCGTGCCCTAGTTCAAGATCGTGAAATGATGTACCTCCGACTTCAATGCTGTAAGCTTTTTTCCTATGCTCCATGTTGTTCATTCTGAACCAATCACTAATGCCCATCCTATGTTAAACCAGCCCCTCGCTTGCTTCAAGTGTCTTTGACTGATCCGTATCTTGCTCCTGACCGACTGGACTGGTCATTAATCCAACTGAGTGCTCAATATCCTTACTCGAAAAAATCCGGCCTTTTTTGATCTCTTCATTCAATGAGCTGTCAAACCAATCAACTCAAAGATTGGACCAGCCATTCGGTAATCAAGAATAACATCAAAAACGCCTACTCTTCCTTACACGATATCCTTGCGGACAGCCTCAAGCTCATATCGTACGGAAACAAACACGATGCTTTTAAGATCCGCACTGAGGGTGAAGATGGTGTGGCTGAGTCATCTGTTGAAATGGGCAAGACCATTGCTTGGTTATTGAACCAATGTTATTCCACCGGGGCGGACGATCAAACTGCTAGACGAACTCGCTTAATCCCTTTGAATGTGAAAGCTTTACAGAAAAAGTTCTTTCACATCTTTCTTGGAATGAACTTGATTTATGAAAACGAGGTACATAATGGACTCATCAAGAAAGCTGAAATTGCCAAATTACGAATTCGCGATATCAGGCAGATGAGGTCTGAGCATAAGACTAATTCTGTCTTACATCAACTTTTCAACGATCGAAACAAGTTCACGTCCGGAAACCTCAAATCGATTGCTGGTCCTTCAAAATCTGCCAAGTCTATCACATCATCTGCTAATGTTCAGTCATCTCAATCAGCAAATGCAAAACCGGCCGAAGAAAAATCTCTTTCAGCCGATACTTCTAGAGACATATCAAATGTTAAGAAACAGTGCCTTTTAAATTTAGCTTTGTTCTTGATGTATGGAACTGCAGGTTTATTCCATGCTCTGCCTAATTATAAAGAGCAAAGTATGCCTGAGAGTGCTATGATTATCTTCTTGGCTTCAACCTTGGCGGATCGGCGTTTCAATAAGTTCAACGAGTTACCTCACTCTTATGGTGATCGAGCGTGGAATCGACTTGATAATTTGATGTTTACTTCGCTCAAGAGATTTCTTACGAATTCCGGTCAATTCAACACTTGAATCAACTGGAATGAAATGACTAATCACTTTCATCAAGAGTTCGAGGAGAAGAAGTTGGCAGCTTTGTTTATGTTGGATCTGTTGACTGAGACCCATCAACCTGGTTTGACCATTGGCCTTAATGGCCTAGTTCTTGATCATGTCAACATTGACAATGTGAAATTGATGAAGATGAACGCTCCTGCGACCGAATCATTCTGGGCGTTGTGGGGTCCAACTGAAGGTCCCCTTCAGCCAGTGAGTGACCGAGGACGAAATCTTTATCCTGAAGTGTCTGGTGACAAGAGTCAGGTGAATGATAAGGCACCTGTTGATGAAGAGGAGGATGGTTCAGATTCTGAACATTCGGAGGAGGAGGATGGTGAAGTTGTTGATGGAGATGATGTGAGAAATGATGATGATGAATCTGAGGGGGAAGAGGAGTGATATGGTTTTGTCTTGTGTGCTATTGTATGTCTGTCTGAACTTGTTTAGAAACTATGCCTATATGCCCTCCTAAGTTGTTGTATGCCATTTACATTTCTTGAATTTACTGTCAAAACACTGCTATGTCTTCATTTGTCATGGATGTACATGCAACTTGATCATGGACAATTGGATGTTCATGTTACATTGTCCTTGTTTTCAGTACCTTGCAAAATGACAAATTCTTGCTTGTTGCGAGTTTTTGCACGAATTGATTGATACCCAAATAATCATTAGTTGCATCATATATGGCAGGGACAATGCTACTTGTCATTTGGTGTCCAGTTTCAGGTATTCTGATACATTTGAATGCTCTCCACCTGAACTCATGTATGAAAAGGGACATTCACCCACTGCGTCTGGTGCGCGGTGACTGCGGCGCAGCACTGCGCCGCAGTGTTTGTGAGTATCATCACATAGTTAGGTTTGAGTCTGGCTTAGTTTTGGTGTCGAGTCTACAGGCTCATGTCCTTTGGTTCCGTCTACTTGCGTAACACGTGTAATTTTTTCGCAATTTCCCTTTTGGTAGCTCAGTATATCGCTCAGTATATCTCTATTCATACTTTCCTGCGACCTAACCTGGGATTTTCAGATTCAAAGACAGTGTGCTTTTGGATATCACCAGCCTGTCACCCAGCTGTACACTTACTGTCACGTGTGTGACATGTCAAACGTTGCTAACTCCAATTTGTAAGTTTCAATGTCCTTCATCCTTTGTTTACCAAACTGCGTCCAAATTCTTGCTTCTGGCAAGAATTTGGACGCTGCTTACACATGTGGTGCACGTGGTTACCTCGTTCAAATTCTCGCTTTCGGCGAGAATTTGGACGTGCCGCATTCATGCGGTGGTCTTTGACTGCCCTGATGTTCACCTCAAAAGTGCATTTGACTGACTTCTTGATATCTTCATCACTTGTTCCATTGTCAGGCCTGACCACAATGTAGACCGTCGTGTCTGTGTCCACCAGGGCTGTGGAAAGGTATTTGATAGGAAGGTTGACCTGGATGAGCATCGTCGGGCTGTGCATCAAATGCAGGTGACTGTAACACATCTTGGTTCAATCCACCAGGTCAACAGGGATGTAGAGGGTGTATTTAGGTGTCCTATCGGCCAATGTGTCTACTACAGTGAAAATCCCAGATATCTTATAGCTCATTGTAAGACTTGCAAAGGGGTTGGTCCTGTGGTCAAACCTATAGTGCCTGAAGACCAAGATGGCGCACTGGTTGTTCCTGCTGGAAATCAGATAGAAGGTGTGTTGCTCATCAACTATCCACTGTCCACACCTTGACCTGATGTTCAATGGTTATACAGTTCATGATATCTTGAAGAAGTACCATCTAGCGTGGAACAAGTCCTGTAGACTGCTGATATGTGTCCAGTGCCATGTGGGTGTGCACGTGTCTGAGGTGTGGGGTCATTGCTCAAGGGCTCATCCACCATTCAGTCACTCCAAGGACGAAGTGAAGTGTGATTTAGTTGAATATGTAGATATGATTGATGGAGATGTGCTGCCGCCTGGTTATCAGCCTGATAAGCCTTGCAAAGCTATTCAGGGGTTGATGTGCTACAATGGCTACACATGTACACTATGTAACTTAACGTGGCCTTCTCGTAAGACCATCAACAACCACTTCTCTCTCAAGCATTCCCTAGGTACTGCCTTTCCAGTGTTCCCGTGTTCTTGGTATGTGGTTGTTCATTGACCTGAACAAACATGTGTCTTTCAGATCTTCCAAATGAGGACACTCGCAAACTGCATTGGCGTCGTGATAAGTGTCAGACTTTCTATGGGCACAATCGAACAAAGTATTTTGCAGTGCTTCCGCATATACCGCTGGCTCAAGTAGGAGAGGTTCCGGACTCACCACATTCACCACACCCTGAAGCACAGGAGGCTGCTTCTGATGCGGTGCAAATATTGATTGAAAAGTTGGAGGCTGAAGCTGCCGGGGTGAAGGATCACGGAGCAGATACATCTTTAGAGAAGGAACAGTCAAACTGGATATATGTTACTGGTATACATACTTATATTCAACTCATGGTTGAGTCTGGTAAAACTAAAGAGGAGCTGGTTATTCAAGGAGAAGGGTTTGAGCGAGTGGATGTTATGGTACGGTATATTGCAGCTTGGATAGATAAAACCATGAAGAGGCTGCATGAGACTGGCCAGCTAGTGAAGCGTATGTGTATGGCTGAAACAAGGTTGGTGGAGTGTGTCACTGATGATATGATTCACAGCTGATGTGTGTGCACTGCTTTTAGTGAGATGGAAGACAACAAAGGGTTGATGCCACTTCAAGAGAAATCCTCTGTGGTCAAGTATGCTCGGATTTTGGCTTCATTCATGTGGTATTTGATTACTCAGGCTCAGGATCCGGTGGACGTAGATTATCAACTTTACAATGTCACGAAAGAGGCCATTTTATGTCTGCGGGACATAGCAGCACCCATGAAGCTTCCTCCTCCCGTCCCAGGCAAATCCAAGGAGGTCGACTTTAGTAGGATCACTGACAATCCTTTGGGGAAGCAAGTATCCAAGGTGCTGTGTTCAGTGTTTCAAGTTGCGACCGGCGGTTGGAGCAAGCAGTACCAAACACCCCCGATGCAGTTCCTGGCATTCTCGACATTGAAAGTGGATGGATCATATCACGACTCTAGTCTATTAACTCATTTGATGGATGCCTTGCAGTATGGAACACGTCTGGCCTTTGCTGAACAATACCTGGATACCCCTCAAGAGGCGTTCAACCCTGCTGCGAATCCCCTGGAGCCGATCAAAGACGACCGGTCTATGTTTGATTTTTTGAGGAAGAATGGACCTGGTCCTTTCAACTATGTACGGCAGCTCATGCACCTAGTTAGTACTTTTGTGTTGTCTGAAGCACTCCCAGATACGACATACTGGGCTGATGCGGCACAAGAGACGCTAGAGGTTGAAAACAAAAGAGTGACTATCAGTGGGATCAGAAATTGTATTCACCTTCAACAAAAGATGGCAGACTCTGACTTGGCCAAGCTTGTTCAGGGCTGTAAGATGCCAGCTTTTGACCTAAGCCTATACAAGGAGGAGCCTCATAGCAGGAAGCCGTTTACAAACTTTTTGGATCATTTGGGTGATGAGCATCAAAAGTATGGGCATCATTTGTTGAAGGAGTGGGTGAGGCGGAAAGATGTGCATGGGTTGTTGGCCAATACATGGAAGACTGAACTTACTGAGGGAATGTCTATTTATGATGCTGCCTTGTGGAAAAAGTCTGCCATGCTAGATTGGTTGGATTTGTTTGACAAGCTTCAAGAAAGATTGTACTTTCTATACCATGTGGCATCTGGACAACCGCTGCGAGGAACTGAAGAAATGACGACTTTGGTGGTGAATACTCGGGTCAGTCAAAGAAACATCTACCTGCGGTCAGGACGCTTTGTCTTCCTCATGTGGTATCACAAGAGTCAAAATATCACTGGGAAAAACAAGCCTTGTATGACCTTCCTTCCAAAACGACACAGTTTCATTTGGTTCTACTACCTTGCATTCCTACGGCCCACTGCAATGTGAGTAGTTGATCAGTATATATATCTTCTTTTGCTGACATGACATGAATCAGGTTTTTCTTGAAAGCCCTAGATCGAAAGGAAATTGCAACTCACATGGCGACCAAGCTGTGGGTCCACACCAGCAAAGGACCTCTGGAATCATCACACTTTACGAATATCCTTAGGCGTAAGTTTGCAGAGGGTGGGGTGGCACAGTTGGGAATTTCTGCTTGGAGACATGTCTCTGTGGCTATTGTAGATGCCCACATCAAAGACCATGTGGATGTATTAGAGTCTGGCAAAAGTGCTATCATTGACTGTCAAAGAGGCCATAACAGTTCTACTGCAAATGCTTCGTATGGGGGAACTGGGGGATATGATGTTGATCGGGAGTCAGAGAAACGTTACAAAGCGGCCAGTGAGGCAATGCACCGGTATTGGGAAGTGAGTCAGAAGAATGCATGTCTGGCTGAGGTTGCACACTGACCAATGTGGATTCTTCAGATTGATGGGCCAGTCCACACAGGTTTTGCCACTCCAGCTGTTGAGAAGATTATTCCTGCAGGTGAACTTCTGGAAGATGCACTGGAGAAATTCACTGGCCAACGTCAGTCAGGAACTCGGACGCCATTCCAAGCCGATTGGTTGACTATGGTCTTGGATCGGAACTACGACATGCTAGTGGTGGCCAGAACCGGAGGTGGTAAATCTCTAGCATACATGCTCCCCCCTTTGGTCGAGCACACCGGCATCACTGTTGTTGTTCAACCACTGACTGCTCTTGTAGCGGAAACAAGTGATATGCTCAAAGAGAAGGGCATCAAGCATGTGGTATATGATTCTGGAAGTGGTTGTGTGGTGGAGAAATGGCATTGAGTGATAGTGTGCACGACTGATCAGGCTGCCAGCGACAAATTCTATAGTATTCTGCAAAGGCACAAGGTGAATCGTGTCATCATTGATGAGGCACATTGCTATGAGGATGATGTGAACTACCGAAGGTACTCGACTGGTGTAGCTCGGCTTTGACAACTCTGTGCGCCGTTTATTTTTATGACCGCAACTATGCAAGTAGGCCATGAAGAATACCTTTACCGGCTATTTTGTATCACCAATGTCAAAGAATTTTGTGAACCGACTGGACGACCCGAACTACGTTTTCATACTGTTAGGAATTGCAAGTGGGAGGCCATGATAGCTCAGGTTGGAGAAGTTGTGACCCAAAATGGGTTGGCTGACTGTGACCGCAACATATTATTTATTGAAAACAAGAAGGAATGCAACAATGCAGAGGCTGACCTGCAGAAATTTTATCCGGATTTACCCATCAGCAAGTACTACTCAAGCCTAACTGACGGTGAAGGTGCTGCCAATGTGAAGCGGTGGAGGACAACACCCAAGTGCTTGATGATTGCCACTAGTGGATTTGGAGCCGGTATCAACTACAAGCATGTTAGGAATGTGATGATATTTGGTTTACCTGAGGATGACAAGGAGATCAACAAGTGCTTTCAAGAGGCTGGACGAGCTGGACGAGATCAACAGGCAGCGGACGTGTGGTTGTTTGAAACTGGCAAGCCTGACAAGGGGAGCTTTGCTGAGAAGGTGATGGACTCTAACCGATGCATACCTGGCACTTTCTCTGAACTGTTGGATGGAGAGCTACGCGACTGCAGGACTGTAGGCTGTCCTCGAGTGTGTATGCACTGTGAAGACCAGGTTATCCACGAGTCAAACAAGCGTAAGGCGGTTGATGACGTGGAGGCCTCACTACCTGGCGAACGGCCAATGTATCTGTCGAATGTGAAGAGGGCACGGGGCCAAGTCAACATTGTTGATCAGATTGGTCTTGCCATTACAAATGTGCGTCAACAGATGACTGGACTTTGTGGCTACTGTTTAGCAAAGGACAAGGCGGAGCACCGTCATATAGATGACAAGTGTGATAAGATTGTAGGCTGCCTACGATGCACTGGAGGTAGGTCCTCACTATCTATGTCAGATATGCAAGTGATCTGATTAATTTTTTTTTGTAGTTGGACATTGGACCTCGAGATGTCAAGCCCCCCAGCTATCCAAGGTCCTTGAAAGGAATGGAAATGCTGCTTTCCGACTGTGTCACTTCTGTGGTCTTGGAGATGGCCATGGTGATGACAGGTTCCACCATGAACCTATTGTTGGTACACTGAAGAAGTGTGATAGTGGACTACAAAATGTATGTGATCGGTTCTGCTGGTACTATTTTCACAATGAGAGGGATACGTTAGTGGGGATAGTCAAGATTGTCAAGACACGTGAGATACATGTTGGAGTTGACAAAGCCAGTGTGCATGCTTTCCAGCAATGGCTTGGGGCACGTGGATGGCTGGGATGCCCGTGGGCCAATATGGTTACCTTGTTTATTGTATTGCGTGATGCACATTTACGCAAACTAGCGTCAGAATTTGTAGGATGAATTGTTGTTGTTGTTGTGGTTTGATAGTGTTGTATATGGCCAGTACATTGCAAAATTCCTTTTGACACTTTTAGTCAAGTCAATCACGAGGAAACCAAGATAAGCCTCACCGTAATTCCAATTTTTCAATGAGCCGCTGTTCACTGCTACAAGTGAGTAGCGCGCAAATTCTCGCTTTTGGCGAGATTGTGCGCGTCACGAGCTAAAAAAACCGCTTCTCCAAGTGCGTAGCGCGCAAATTCTTGCTTCAAGCGAGAATTTGCGCGCCAGAGCTTTGATATATAGCTTCTACAAGTGCCTAGCGCGCAAATTCTCGCTTGAAGCGAGAATTTGCGCGCCAGAGCTTCGATATACAGCTACTACAAGTGCCTAGCGCGCAAATTCTCGCTTGAAGCGAGATTTTGCGCGTCCTGAGGGACGGGAAGGCCTGCTGCACGTGTGTGGCACGCAAAATCTCGATCTTGTTGAGATTTTGTCCGTCTGGGCTTCCTAGACAGCTGTCACATTGCCTCACAAAAGAGTGATTTTGATGTGACCTGCCAGCTGTCTGGCGTTGCTTCCAGGGTGAATACCACTTGTGATAGAGAATCATAGGTGGTATGGCTTTCGAGGTGGACAGTCTGTTTAAAAAGGACAATGTGCAATCTACTTGCTCACTATGTAGATGTATGTGGAGGGCAATGGGAGTATGTGGTTTACAACCACGGTCTGGATGATATAACCTCAGGGGATCTTGCAGGGGTCGTAGCCTGCCAAACACTCAGAGCTACTCACGCTTCACAACCATTATTGCCACCTGTAGCTACCTGGGTCTACCAGTAGCTACTGAGTAGCTAACGGTAGCTAACCGTAGCTACTGAGTAGCTAACGGTAGCTAACCGTAGCTACTCAGTAGCTACCGGTAGCTAAGGTTAGCTAACAGTGGAACCAGGTTTAACTTTTGAGAAATATCCCAAATGTGGGTGTGGTTTTTGGCATTCTGCCTAAAACACAAAGTGATGGGCGGACAATCTGGGCATGTAGAGTATGATATTTTGGCTGACTGGAGCTTAATATCCAGGTGGACATTAGGTGTTTCCAAAGTGCCCGGGTATTCACAGGTTAATGGTTGGCCCCACTCCACACTTTTCCCCTCACTTGTTTTTGGTTTTTTGGTGAATTTGGTGAGCATATGTTGAAATAATAAG